AAAATTAAATTAACTTTCTGTGATAAAATTCTTAATAATTACATTTTTTGTGAATTTTTCTGTTTTAAAATAATCGCAAAATAAGAAAGGAGGAGGGAGAAGGAAAGACGGAAGACAGCTGCACAACAGCGGAAGTTTGCTGGTCCATGATTCAAGTTATTGTGACTAGAAACCTACCAAAAAGACACAGGCTCCACGCATAACTTCCGCTATAAAAATTTGACAAAGAAAAGAATGCCGGAAAGGAATTATGGCTAAAAAAAAACAAAAAAAAACAAACAAACAAAAAACAAAAAAACAAAACAAAAGAAAACACACACACACACGCAAAAACTTTTGATGTTAGCCGAAACCAAGCGTCGCGACAGTAATCTGGGGTCCTTGCTTAAGTGGATATAAACAGCCGACAGACTGAGACGAAGGGACCGTAAGAGATACCAGCCGTGTGTGTCGCGTGAAGGAACTAAGCGTTCATCTGTTTCAGTCATTTTCTCGTCCTTCTGAGGCCAGAGAATACATCGCAGATTTTCGCCGCGCCTATTTCCAAAGTAATCACAATCCTGTCAACAGCCAACAAGATGACGATTGCTATCAAAGTTTGACGTGTGAACTATTAAATGCCCAGTCGAACGAACTTTCGCTAGCCCGAATTACAAAGAACTCGCTCCAATCGAAGTCAGATAAATATACGTATATTATTTGATTATACCTTTGATTCTATTCGTTTATTTCCGATAAATATTGTTAAGAACCTCTGAAATTTTTCCACATTATACTGGATTTCATACAAGACTTATTCAATCTTTGTAAAAGAGAACTCCCTCACACACACACATACACACAAAAGAATAGAAAAAATGGAAAGAAAAAAATGTGGTAACGGGAAAAATAAAAAGTAAAGTTAAAGTAAAAGAAGAGAAAAAAAGAAAGAAAAAGAACAAAAAACAGAAAAGAAATAGAAAAAAGTAAAGGAAACTATAAAAGAAAAAGATAAAAATGAAAAGCGATCGAAAAAGAAAGAAAAAGAAAAAACAATAACAGACGAAAGAATGAAAAGAAAAAGAAAAAGGAAAAATCAAAATGAAAACAAAAAAGAAAAAGAAAAAGAAAAAAGAGAAATGAAAAAATAAAAAATTAAAGGAAAAATTCAAAGGCACAGAAAAAGTAGGAAGTTTTTTGCTCAAAGATTAAAACTCAAACTTCATTCTGTTCATTGAAAAATTAAAAGTAATTTTGTTTGATTTAAAATGCTACAACATTTTAATACACTCATTTTTCCGTTTTAAGGAATCGAAACCAGTGTTTTCCATTCTTCAGGAAATTGTATCTATGAAGAGTTATGGTTTCACTGTAAGAGTTCTTCGCTATTGTCAGAATAGATTATGCCAATGAAAATGTTTTTGAATAGTTTAAAAGAGGAGATTTTAATGTAAACAGCACTTGATGAAAAAATACAATAGTATTTTTTCATCAAGTGCTGTTTACAAATTTATAAATAATGATGGAATATCTGTGATCCGCTGTGACCCTAAGAGTTTGGAAGGAAATCAAACGGAAGTTCATTTTGACGTTACGTCACATACTTGGTTTAAAATGGCACGATAAATTCCTGCTTTGTCGTCAAAGAAAAAATGATTTTATAGAATGTTTTTAAAGATTAATTTGATCGAATCAGCGTTTTTCTTTTTGTAGTCAGTCAGTCATTTTAGTTATGATAAATGCACACAGGCAAGAAAATTTCGAATAAATAATTTCAACTTTTTACCCCGTCTTCAACGTTGACATTAGTGAAACTAGACCGCTAGCTATTTATCTCCAGTTTGAATCAAATTTCGCAATATTTGTTTTCAAAAAGAAATTTGAAAAATGAAATGTTTAGGATTATTTTTTGCTATTACTAAATGAAGTGAAATCGAACAATTTTAAAATTGTTTGAAATAATATCGATTCTCATAGAAAATTTAAATTTAATTTCTGATTATAAAAACCAAACGAAGGAGCAATGCACAAAAAATATTTGCTATAGAATCATTGTAGGTTTTATGTGTGGTTTACAGGTGGTTATCCAGATAAAATCCTTAATCCGTAATCGAAATATATACCAATTTCTGGTCTTTTAAAGATAATTAGTACAAATGTATATTTTGCATGTGCTGATAAAATTTTATATCTCTTGAAATAAAATATACAATATTTAAAAAGTTCATAAGTTCGTATCAGAAGGTTCTCATGTTAAACGTCTAAGTGTCTTTAGCATAGATAGAGGGAGAGGGGTAGAGAGAGGGAAAGAAAGAGAGAGAGAGAGTCTTTGTAAATGTGTATGTATGTAGGTATGTACGTATATAACTCGTTGATAGCAGTAATCTTTTTGACTCTCTGTGGAGTTTAAGGTGTCCTGATAATGTAGGTCTTGAGACAATGGACAAAATTATTTCAACATCTAAATACTTTAGCATAAGATAGAGAGTCCTTGCCCTTGTATGTATGTATATATGTATGTCGTTAATATTAGTAATCCTTTTGACTGTCTGTGGGATTTAAGGTGTCCTGATAATGTAGGTCTTGGGAGAATGGACAAAATTATTTCGTCAACTCTGGCTTTGCCTAATCGGCTCTCTGTGCGTTTTTTTTTACACTAGAGGACTAAGGAATTAATTTCAGAATTGTCTCTTGCTTCCTGATTGGTTTACAGGTATGACTCATTAGACAATCCCCCTTTTTACATGTACGAATGATGTCCTTTTGGCTTCTTTTATTTATTTATTTTTGTTTTTATTTCTTTATAGAAAACCAAAATGGTTTACCAACTTTTAGTTTTCTACTTTTTTTGAATAGTGAACTTTTTATTTTTCTATCACTAACCTCTAAAAATTTGAGTGACAAAACGAATAAAATAGTAAATATGCATGGCCAGAATTGCATATGGCATTCTCCTAGCGGTTAGACGACCAAGATGAGTTATTGCTCTTGGCACGCTAGGGAATTAGTCAGAGCTTTAAGAAGATAGATTCCAGGCGTGTTATGACCAACATCCAAACTCATACACTTGTTCAATAAGAACTATACAATGAGAAAGAAAATATAATTATTAATCAGCAGCCTCAATTTGGCATAAAGGTAGAAAATTTCTCTAATAACGAAAATCTCTCTTTGTAAGTACCATGTTTATATCATGTCGTGACTCTCACATCGATCATATTACGAAAATGATGAACGTTATTTTGCAACACTCCATTTTATTTCTCTAAGTACCTTGTATTTATGTTTGATCGATTGATTAATTTTCTACGATTTATCAACCTTTTGCAAGTTTTTTTTTTTATCTGCTTGGAAGCTCCTCGAAGTACCGGTTCATTATTCAGTAACAACCAAACAATATGAACCCCTCTGCTGTCCGCTCAGCTATGAGCAAAAACATCAGGGCGGATTGGGGTGTCTAGCCTCGGGTGGCCACAAGTCTAGAGAAGACGACGTGAAACCACTCCACTATCTTTACCAGGAAGTCGTAACAATTCATAGATAATAAAGAAAATGGTTCTATTGAAGGAACGTGGTATATAAAAAAATCTGATTGAAATGTGAGTTTATGTAATTCTCGCCTTACCTTGTGTAATGCTGGCATCCTTCCCCTGTTGTTTCTGCTGTTTTCGCCATTTGGCGCGGCGATTTTGAAACCAAACCTGGAAAATTAAAATGAAGTTTCACAATTTCAGTGGTACAAACATGGATCGTTTCAATAATTTCCTCCATTTTTGGATGAAAAAAGAAATATTTCATTGAAAGCATTTCCATTGCGCATCAAGGAAGTCTTAAATGGTTCTCTTATCTGAACATAGAGAAGAGGGCAATTCTTTTTCCTAATAATAGTTGTAGTATCAGCAACGTATTTAGTACCTTTGTAAAGGGAAAGAAAGGATAAACCTCTACCCTTGAAAAGACAGGGGGAGTAGAGGTTTATCTCTTGTTTCCTGTTTAGTTTTGGGTTTATGGTTCTTTCTAAAGTCGTATCATCTCTTTCGTTCCCAGTAGCCCTTTGCATCTTAGTTGCTTGCAGTGAATTGATTAAAAAAATACAAAAAACAAGTTGCGATCATGATCATTCACAACATTCTCTGCATCTAAACAAAGCTATTAATGGCAATACATTTGAATGTTTGAAGTTTTTTCTCTTTCTTTTATCCTTACAGTGACTGTGATTTTCGAATATGTTTTCATCTATAAGAATATTTCTTAATTTTCAAAACCACGTTAAAACTGTAATTAGCAATTATCATACAATGAATTGGAGGTTTGAAATTCGTAATGGATTACGTGAACAAATACACGTAAATGAAAGGTTTAGATAACAGCATTAGACATAATATCGGTAAATTGCTACTTTTATGGAAGCCAGTTATTGTTGTTTCTCTATAACAATACTAAATGTGAGCTTGTCATTTGACAGCAAATATAAGAAATCTCATTTAGTATTGTAAATTGTCGTCACAAAGTATCGTTAATCATAGAGGCCATTAATGGCTAACAAGAATTATATTGAACTTTCAGTTTCCTGGCACGTATTTTTACGGAGAAACTCAAGGCGTATAATAAGAAACAATTTTGTAAGAATTTTATCTACGTATAATGTTAACTCGTAATTTATTTTAACAACATTCGATGACTACCTATTTAAATGAAAGATGTTATGTGTGCAGTTATGGTTTTCAAAAGGAGAGAAAAATCTTTCTCGAGTCCCTAATAGTAAGGTTCTAATCAACCTGAAAGATTTTCTTTGGTATAAGATTGATTGATTGTTTTTTACGGCTCATCAATCCTTTTCAGGTTATTTAAAACCAGAAAATATTTTTAGATTATACAGTTTTTTCCTGAAGATAAGAATTATTTACTGATACAATTTCTATTAATTAACCCATAGTTGGGGGAAGTAGAGGTGGATTCATTTGCATGGAAGTGAATATAACGAACCCGACTGGAAATCGAACTAGGTTCTCACATCCAAGCTTACAGCAGCTGGTATTCCCAAGCGATCACCCATCTAGGCACTGGCCAGGCCCGACGTTGCTTAACTTCAGTACAGCACAAGAACCGGTATTTCGACGTGATATGACCGTAAGCCTGATAGTTATAAAACCCTTCTTTCCACACTAAAATGACTGAAAAATATCTCCCGGGTCTCACCTCATTCAAATTTGAGGTATCTGGTAGGTTGATGGATGCCTCCTAGATTATCACTATTTGTACTATAATCTTATCCTAAACTATACCAAGTGAATTTGTATACATTTTGTATATAATCGGGATTGGATTATGATATTTTTGAAACCCAAGATTAATCAACTTTTGGGGCCCTCTCTCTAACTCGCATGCACCCAACTTGAATATTTTTTATTCATGATATATTTTAGTGACATTTACATCACTTGAAGTAAAATTTTTGCAAAAAAAAATTCTTTAATAAATACAGTTATTTACTATTTATTGCAAACCAAATTAGCACAGATTTCAACAGAACTGTAGTAAAAAAAAACAAAAAAAAAACCCAAAAAACAATCAAGATATTTTTTATAACCAGCATAATAACAATAAGACAATCAAAATAAATGAGTTTATCATATTGATATCATTTCAGTTTATGAAACTATTTAGAAGTCATAACATCGAGAAAATTAAAATCACTGCTTTATTAAAAGCTTGAAGGGTCGTAGGATGAAGCCGAAACTCACCCAAATGATAATCCGGCTATGGATGTAATATATATGTATCAGGTCATCCCATAAGTTCTGTCCGAATTTTAACTTTTTTGTTAAAATGAACGAAATTTTAAGAGTATTTCATAATGTCTAATGGAGCTGAACATTATTTTTATGTTGAGATGCATTTAAACTGATCAAATTTTATTTCAGAGAACAATAAAATTAAATTATGTTTGATTAAAACCCTGCTAAAATGGAAGTACCAAAGAATTGTTTGAGGCACATAATGCTTTATGAGTTCAAGAAAGGAAACTCAGCAGTCGAAGCGGCTAGAAACATTCACACAGTTTATGGAGAGGAATGTGTGAATGAAAGAACTTGCAGAAGATGGTTTGCAAGAGATTTCACCCTTGAAGATGAAAATCGAACCGGACGTCCAGTTGAGTTTGATGAAAAGCTTCTTGAAGCAACCCTTGAAGAAAATCCTGCTTTATCAGTTGAGGAATTGGCAGTGGTTCTCAGTTCAAACCATACAACTGTTCATCGTCATCTTCAACATCTTGGAAAAGTTCCTAAACTTGGAAAATGGGTGTCATGAATTGTCTGAAAACAACCTCAAATCCCGAGTTGACATCTGCTCTTCTCTCCATTCTCGCCAACTTGTTTCACCTTTTTTGGATAGACTTGTGAAAAATGAATCTTTTATCGAAATGTTAAGCGTCGTAGACAGTGGCTTGGTAAAGGGGAAGGATCCCAGCCACAGCCGAGAAGGGAACTTCATGGACAAAAGGTTCTTCTTTCAATCTGGTGGGATCGCCAAGGAATAATCCACTTTAAATTCTTACTACCTAATGCAACAATTAATGCTCAAATATACTGTCTGCAATTAGAGCGTTTGAACCAAGCTTTGAGAAAAAAGACCTGCTCTAGTGAATCGAAAAGAGGTGATGTTTCATCAGGACAATGCGCGACCCCACACAGCAAGAATCACGTCACAAAAGATCGAAGAACTTGGTTGGGAGAAAATTTCATCCACCTTATTCTCTCGATCTTGCTCCTTCAGACTACCATTTGTTTCGTAGCTTACAGAATCATTTGAAGAAACAGCTTTTGTAACACAGGAAGAGGTTAAACTGACATTTGTGAGTTCTTCGAATCAAAGCCAAAAGAATTTTACAGTAATGGAATTAGTATTTTGTTAATAGATGGAAGAAAGTCATAGATAATCAGGGAAAATACATTGTTGATTGAATCTGTAATTAAATGTAACATTTAGTCACTTGTTTTCTTTATTCAAAATTCGGACAGAACTTATGGGATGACCTGATAGTAATTTGTTAATAGATGGAAGGAAGTCATAGATAATCAGGGAATATACATTGTTGATTGAATCTGTAATTAAATGTAACATTTGGTCACTTGTTTTCTTTATTCAAAATTCGGACAGAACTTATGGGATGACCTGATATTTTCTAATGTCCCACTGCATAGGGAGATAAAATAGCAAATAGTGATATAGAACAATATAAATATGTGTGTGTGTCTCCATATAATATATATATATATATATATATATATATATATATATATATATATATTATACTACCAGTAATACTCGGTTGGAAAAAACCTCAGATAGCACAACTTGTAAGTCTATCGAAACAAATTGATACCCGAGGAAAAAATTGGAAAAAAAAGAAAGAACTAGAAACATCCGAACAGGGCGAAACAAATCATGCAGTGTCTTAGTTTTTAGTCCAAAGAAAAAAATCCAAGCGAATAATAAAGCTAAAACATAGAGTGCTCAATACGAAGAGTAACAAAACAAGGGGAGATCACTCTTGATTATTCATAACACATATATTATCAATTTTGATCATATACAATCTTGAGAATTGGTCAGATACACTTAATAAATTTATGTGAAACACTTTATATTTAAGGAAGAATTTATTACATAGATGTTGTCGAACTGATCACATATATTTAGTGGGCACTTCTGGTGACGTCGTATAAATAGAAATTTATGTTATGTTAAACTTGTGTTAAATAAACTACATAATTATTAAGAGATGAACAGAATATTTAGTTTAATATTCCGGAAGTATTGAGCATAAATAAGAAGATGCAGAACATCATACAAGTCTTGTGATTTTGATAATTAAAATGCCAATCACTTTTACAAAGCTGTCATTTTTTTTTCACGATACGGATAAACGACTATTCATAATGTAAAAGAAAATGAAGTGTGTTTATTTTCGTAATTGTTGTCGTTCAGATTTATGACTAATGTCATTTCTGATCCTCATAATAAAAGTTAAATTTCTCACCTGAACTCGAGCTTCCGTAAGATCAATCCTCAAAGCAAGTTCTTCCCGACAAAAGACGTCGGGATAATGTGTCTTGTGAAATGCCTTTTCCAGTTCCTCCAACTGGTAACTGGTAAACGTTGTTCTGTATCGTCTCTGTTTTCTTTTCACTTGCTGCTGACCTGAAAAAATTAAATATGATTCTCAATTAGCACAGAACACAGAATATAAAATGAGTAATTTTCTTGGAATCAAAATTATTCCCTTGTAAATTTCCAAATAGAATTATTGATAACATTGGATCTCCTATTTGTAAAGTTAAGGGGGAGGGTCTGGTATGTTAATGTTTACCCAGACGCCGTAGAATACTAGTACTTGTACCTAAGCCAACTCCATAATACTGGAATATTTTTAATGCTTTGTCTATTCAGGACATAGACGATCATGACTCTACACATTTCTTTTTTTTTCTTCATTAGCTGTGAATTGGCTTGCATGTCTGCAAGTGGAACATATTTGAATGCTTTCGAGTTACCTTCTCCATAATAGGAATTCAGAGTGTTCTTTCTCTTAGAGTGGTTGCCAACCAATGCTAGAAGGCCCAGTCTACCCTGTTATTTAATCACTAGCTGGGTGAGAAGCGGTAGAAGTGATCGATTCAGGACTTTCCTAAGAATATTAGTGCGAAAGCAAACGCAACAGGATGGCCCAGAATTTGAATTCCGCTCGCCATTTCCACGATATCCGTTACTCTGCCTGCACATCCACGGTAATATTAAAGCTAATACCAATAATAATGATAATATAATAGGTGAGGAAAGGAGGGAAGTGTTATTTGCCATCAAATGTAATCATTTATAAGTTCTGTTTATAAAATATGAACAGAGACCTTTTAACATAATGATTGGGATTTAGAAAAATTGTTACATTTATCACGAATCATGCTTTTTGGCTGTTTGAACTGAATATCATATCTTGATTTTTATTTGATGGTGAAATTTCCAAAGGAAATATTTAAAAAATTATTATTATTATTATTATTATTATCATCATATCATCATCATCATCATCATCATTCGATTAGTTTAAAAGTCTGCGGAAAGAAAAGGCAGGAATGTGTTGAACATTTTAATTTTTTTTTTTTTTTTTTTTTTTTTTTTATTCCGAAAAAGTTAAAGACAAAGTTCTATTAGTTTGTTTTGTTTTTTAAGACAATTTTCTGTAATCATGCTTTTTTGTGTTTTTTTGTTCCATTTTTATAATTTGGTGCACCTATTACCATTGGTATTGAATTTTTTTTTTTTTCCTATTTCAATTTCCAGGTCTTTGTATTTTGATTTTTTCAAATTCTTTATAGATGTTGTTTTTTTCAATTTGAAGACATTTTTTTTTTTTTGGTTTTTTAAAATGTTTGTTATTTGTTTTTTTTTTTTGTCTGTGTGGATGGTTTCCACAGAATGGGTGTATTTCTATTTTTACCGATGTTTACCAGTGTTTGCTTACACATTTTCCAAAGTGTTTGCACATTGTTGTTAAGCTTCGGCTCTGGCAATTTCATTTTGATTTTTATATTCATTTTCCAAGTATAGAACAGTAATAATAGAATGGTATTTGTCACAGAACCTGCATTTTGGATCCACAAAATTATTATGATTTTTGTGAAAAAACATGAAAAGTAGATCTTGTAATATGCAAGAATCTAGCGTTTCAGAACCCAATCCAGGTTTCGTAAACCATCGATGAGTATTAATTTATTCAGAGGGGATTTGCACGTTCTGGATATTGGAATGCAGAGGTTTGTCCGCGCTGTTGTTTCAAATGAAGTCTGTTTCCAGAAATGTTTTCATAGGTTTTTATAAATAGTTGGGATTATTTTTTGATTTATTACAGAATTTAAAATGAAAGAAATTGTATATAGAACGGCTTTAAAATTCATCCAATATTTCTGTTTGACAAAGTTGAAGACATTTTAGTCCATGTATTTGTTTTTAAATATTGTAATTCTCTTCAAATCTAGGTCCCTTGCGTCGTTTCCATTAAAACCGTCTTCTCCTGAATTCACTAAAAAATTAGCAAATTTTCTTTTTCCAATTTATTGAACTTTTTACGAA